ATTTCCGCCACTAGAAGAGACTTTTCCATTTGGTTCCTCCAAATGGACACCTTTTTCATGGGGAGCTTTGGAGATTCACTCTGCAGCTTTCCTCTCACCCCTGTTGATCACACTTAGACTCACACTTTGAAGATCTCTTTGAAGTAGCATTTGCTGCCTTGAAGGTGCTGAGAGTGGCAGTGCTATCATGAATGCTTTCTTCTGCCTCTTCTAAACACTCCCTTCCTCCCTCTGAATGGACCAGATGAGCTGTTAAGATAGGTGCTGTTTCTCCCCATATGTAGCAGGAGGTACAGTTTTCACAATTTGTGTGTGCTTACGGCAAGCGCTGGAGTGTGAGGTAGTGCTGAGCCCTGCATCGCCTCCACCTGGGGACGGTCTGGAGCGGACTCTGGTCAGACAGGAACTGCATCCTAGGATTTTTAGGTCTTGGAGAATTCTGCAAAACCATGACCTTTCAAGTGTTTTCCATTAAGTCTCCCAGCTGTTTTCAATTCCTCTGAATAGTTTTGGCTAAAATAAATTATAAATTGTAAAGTGGAGGTTTGTTCTAGCATTTATATTTATTAGATTTTAAGATTTAATGACCATATGGATTTAAAGCAAATTTTGACTTTTTATTTTTTTTAAAAAAGCAATCAAGTAGAATCTCTTGATTTTGGCTATTTAAATATTAATTTGTGGTCATAACCCATTTTTTGGCTCCTGTTAAATGTATGACTTTATAAAACTAAGGTTTTAGGCAATTAGGTAACAAAGAAGAACAAGTTTTTTTACATTAAAAACATTTAGTGATATATTTACTCTTGTATGTTCTCCTATAAATGTTAATGAACAAAATAAACTAATACAATTTAAAACATGTTTTAAAAAATTGTTTTCCCCTCCTTTGTTGTAAAATATGACCTATGTTGATTCGGCTGAGATATTTTGGGATATTCTATGGCTTCCTCAGAGGAAACAGCATAGATGCCGTAATTGATGATCGATGTTGTTCAGACTGGTAGGTTTTCTACAGTTAACAGTGGAATGGCTGTTAACTAATTTTTATTTTACAATTAATATTTTATTGCCTAGTGAGATGTGAAAATGGTTGTCTCTAAAGGGAATTCTAGGTAAAGATAGTAAGGCGGTGGTGTAGTCCACAGGGAATAAGGCTGCCAGCCTAATAGAGGCTCATCTTTGGTGGTTCAAATCCACCAGTAACTCTAAGAGAGCAAGATGGGCGGTCTCTTGTGCCGTTCACAGCAGTTGAAAACCCGTTGGAGGGTCAGCGATGGGCTGGTTGTGACCTTACTGCGGTGAGTCTTGAGTTTTTTTTTTTTTTGTTTTGTTTTTTTCTTTTATTATTATTTTGTGTATATGTGTCTGTGTACCGTCAGATCAGATCTGACTGGTACAGGAGGAGATTGTCCCTCCTTTCCCGGCAGAGCATCAAGTCTTGAGTTTTTTGAGATAAAGCTATTAGTCCCTCCAGTCCCTGCCTCTACTTCTCTTTTCGCCAGAACCAGCTGTGTGTGTGTTTGAGTGTATTTAACACCCGTATCCTACTTTTCCCACCAAGCCACAGTGGGCTCTCCTCAGGTAACAGTTACATCCTGGACACCATCATGTTCTCCAAGGGGTAGCTTCTAACCTCTGCAGCACGCGGGTCTGGAGCTGGGCCATCTCATAGTTTTGCTTTTCTTAAAAAAAAAAAAATTGTTCTCTTTAGAACTTCCAGTACTTTCCAGATTTGTATATACCAACAGTGTTGCTATTAACATCTTTGCCCTTATACCAGCAAATTCGTATGCATGTGTTCGCCTTTAAGAGGGATGAATTGTGCTGCCTTTGTATTTGTGAAAATTCTAAGAGAGAGAGAATTTAGAGACATGCTACAATAATAGAAGTGAGTAATAGCAGACTGTAGAGGGAAACCTTTATCTGACTCCTTAATTTGTGGGGCATTTTTTGCAGATTTTTATAGAGGAATCAGGATCTTGTGCAGTCATACCCAGTAACACTAAACAGTGAAACTTGCATATTCCAATTAACTAGGAAGTTCTCTACTTATTAGGGGGAGACATCTAAATTTAAATATGTATTATAATTCTCAGATGTTTTACCCATGCTAATCCTGCCTGATTAAAATTTCTTAAGGAAATTGTATTAACAAGCAAATAAAAATATCTTGTAATATTTGTTAAAAATAATAGCATATCTAAATTGGATCATTTAATCTTATCTACAGGTAAAATTTCCCCTAAAGCCATTTTCATATCTTACTATATACTTAGAAATTTTTTTTTCTCTAGTTGGAGCAAGAGAACTTTAACTGTGTCCTTTCTAAATGATCTGAATTAGCAAAGGAAAGTAAAAGGGGTGGATATTTGAGTCCCTACTCTGTGACAGGTGTGAGGCTTTAAGCATTTTGTCATGCTTTGGGTTTTTTTTAAATTTTTTTTATTATTAATTTCAATGAAAATTTACAGAGACTTTGGATTTCCATTCATTCGTTGTTGCACTTTCCTCCCCTCCCACCCCTCCCACCCAGTACACAACCCTCTTGGAAAAGTAAAAGAAAAATTTTTTCATTGTTTTACAAACCTTCCCCCAGGTCCACTCCACTATGCAGCCTTCACTTTGGATACCCATCATGACAAAAATACCTAATCACATATCCCTTTTAAACAATTTTCTCCCTCATCTGTTTCTATGCAGTATACATTATTGAACCCTGCTTTCTCAGTCTCCCCGCAACCCCGAACAGGGTCAGTCCTGTTTTACAACAGTGGCACCATGCAATATTTGTCCTTTTGTGACTGAGATACTTCACTCAGCATAATGTCCTCGTGGTTCACCCATTTTGAATAATATTCCATTAGTTCCTTATTTTTCAATGCAGTGTAGTATTCCATTGTGTGAATATACCACAGCTTCTCTGTCCATTCGTTTGTTGATGGGCACTTAGGTGGTTTCCAACTCCTTGCTATTGTGAACAGAGCCGGGATAAACATGGGTGTGCATACATCTGGTCGGATGTCAGTTATGGTTTTTTGGGGGTATATTCCCAGTAGTGGAATTGCCGGGTCAAATGGTATCTCTATTTGCAACTTTTTGAGAAAGCACCATACTGCCTTCCACAGTGGTTGCACCATTTTACACTCCCACCAACAGTGAGTAAGTGTTCCAGTTTCTCCACAACCTCGCCAACATTTGTTGCTTGCTGTTCTGTTAAATTTTACTGTTCTTACTGGGGTGAGATAATATCCCATAGTCGTTTTGGCATTTTGTCCTGTTTAATTGCCCTTACAATCTTTTTTTTTTTTTTTTTTTTTTAATTGCCCTTACAATCTTATAAAATGGGTTCTGTTGTTTCATAAATGAAGGAACTGAGGCAGAGAGGGCTAGATCTACAATGATTTGCAAAAGGTTGACTGCTGGAGTTTACCAGACCTGAAAGAGAAACAGAACTTCCTTACATATGGTCCTTTGACCCCTTGTTCCGGAACCTCTTGGAATATTTGTGAATTCCTGGACTTCTGATGGTTGTGCATGGGATTCTGCCTTTTCCACAAGCAACAGTGTTTCTCAAGCACACTGCAAGTCCAAGTGCCACTCTTCCAGGCCGTGGTGACCTCCTTTTGGTGATGTGATGAGCTCTCCCGGAAGAGTGCCCCCATGTGCCTTTTAGGGTGAGTAATTGTCATCATGCCCCAGTTGCAGCGGGCACATTAGCAGCGGTCATCTGGGTGGCCTCCTCCGGCCTTGCCCATTTCCGTTTCCCTGATTGCTTGAGCTGAACTTCACCTGGGTCATGGTTTCAGGAGGCACTTGTAAAAGAGTTGATATCACCACGCTCAATAGGCGTACTTTAAAAGGTTGGCGTTTCCAGTGCAGATCTTGAGCACAGCTTGTGTGATTCCTACAGGTGGAATCTGTGTTTTTGCATTCTCACTCTTTCTCAGAACAAGCCAAATTAAAGGGACGAGGTGTGCTGAAACTGCTTTAGGAAAATGTGTTTTTCCTTCCCTTACAAGTCTCTGCTGCACTTTGTTGGTGGTAGATTTCCCAGTTTTCCCCACTTGCTGCTGACTTCCTGGAAGTAAGATCAGAGACCCCTTCAGACAGAATCCTCCCACCCAGTGCAGGCTTTTAGAAAAGCCTGCGGGTTCCCTGTCCACCTTTGTTCCTCCACCTTTCTTTGTCTCTGATTATCTTTTCTTTGGAGCACCATGAAATTTCTCTCCTCCACTTGCAAGCTTCCTTCTTTCCCTTGGAGAGGCTCCTCCAACCTCAAGTCCTGCCCAACCAGCCGAAGAGCAGAGTCCTCACTGCTCCGATGACTGACAGCCTCTGAGAGGTGTGCCCTGCACCAGAGGTCTGAGAGCAACTCGGGTTTGTGTTCGTATTTTATCCCTCTGTGCTGGCAAAAGAGCATCTGTCTTTGTTTTGCTGTTCAGCTCACCCAAATAAAAGAGGCGGTTCCCCCTCCCCTGAAAGGCAGACAGAAGGGAAGGGGGGGGTGTGTGTGTGAAGAAACTGAACAAAATAAAATCATTTTAAGCATGTACTCCTTTGAAACTAAACAGCTACCCCTTCCACTGTCCTGATTGGTCTGCGACCATTGACAAGTGGATCGGGTGGAAAGGAAATATTCTGGACTTAATTGTAAGTTAAATCTCTCTTAATCCAGAAGAGCATTTGAGATTCTGTCCAAGTGTTCAATTTCCCAGGCCGCTGAGGTCTGTGAATTTCTTTTCCCAGCCTCCAGGCTGCTGCAGTACAAGTCAGCATAGCTAATGCAGATAGATCTCCTGCCTCTCGCTCGCCTCCTCCCCCTGCTTTGATTCGATATGAACAGCCTGGTAACTCCGATGCTGGGGAGGAATCTGACATAACTCTGCAGATGGCTAGGTTGCCATGAAACACCTGGGGATTGTTCTTTAAGGAAAAGGTAACATTTATATGCTAATGATTGTCTTCCCCCCTCCCCTCCTTGTTGCATTTTTTTCCAGGGCTGCCAGTCGCAAAGAAAAGCCCAAAGTCGGTAAGGACTTGTCAGTTACTTGGTGTTTGTTTGGGGGCCGGGTGGGTGTGGGCGGTGGGAGGGGGTGCTGTCTGGCTTGAGCTCAGTAGATATGTTCCAGGTGCATGGGGAGGGGGCTGCAGGAGGAGCGGAGGCTGACTGTATTAAGTTCTCAGGGATCTGTTTGGTATAGCAGGTATCTGGGCTCGTCTTTAACTATATAGTGATTTGTGGGCACGCTGCAAGAGCCAGCATAAAAAATGCATGCTTGCGATCTCGACTCTATAAATGCATCACAACTCGCCTTCTAATGAATGAGTTTCTTAGCTGTTTGAACTTGATACAAATGCCTTTGTTTCTTATGGGTCGGGGGCGGATGGGGGGGAAGACAGAAAGAAAGGGGTGGGGAAAGGCTCCACCTTCTTCCTGGGTAGCTTTGCTCTCAACTGGTGTCCCCAGCCCTTGATGTGGGCAGGTTTGCTGCCTGGGTTTTCTTCTGCACTCCTCACTTCCTAAAGAACAGCCCGTGGGCTTCCAGGAGAAATTCTCTTCCTCATACATGTGGATGTGGCCGTGGTCAGACAGAACAATATTCACAGACCCAGCACCAAGAATAAGACATTTCTTTGCTGTGGAAATGTCCTTTGTTGTTCTGCCAGCTCTGACGGCGTTATGCTGCAGGTATAGGATTCTTTAAAAAAAAAAAAATCAATGTTTTGCTGTCCTTTCTCATCTGCTTTCCCTGAAGATGCATTACCTAGTTGACATGTTAGCTAATAGCTTAGAGGCTGGAGTGTTCCGTGTGGTGGGATCGGCTCGTGCCTTGGACCACTGACAGCACCTTGAAGTGCTGCTGAGAAACTCAGAATCTGGAGCTCTCTGCCTGTGAGCTTGAGCTGGGTGTTTGGGGCTTTCGATTCTTAGGATAATCAAGGTGGGTGCTTCCCTGTGCCCTAGAAGGTTTTGGGGGAGGAGGAATCGCCACCTGGGAAAGGAGAACCTTTCAAACTTTGCAGCTCTCGGCACTGTGGCTTATTACCTTCCACTTGGCTCCGAGCCTGGCAGCAAAATTCAGAAGTTTTATCCAGGAGAGGAGAAAAGGAGCTTCCTGTGTTCCGAAGCTCCGTTCCTAAGTTCCCCTGAGAGAAAAACTGGCACTAATTGATGTGAGCCAGGGTGACTGAAACATGCAATTTTGGGGCTGCTTCTGTTGTCAGTGTACGTTAAGTGCAGGCACAGGAGAGCTGGTTGGAGCGCCCACAGTTGAACCACAGATGTGCAACACCTGTGTGTGTGAGAGAGAAAGAGAGTGTGTGTGTGTGTGTGTGCGTGCGCGCGCGCGTGCGCGCACGCACACACCTCCCATTATCCCTGGATCATAGAAACCCATTCTGCAATTCAGAAAAATATAGCTGCAAATCTAGGAGCTGTGGTGAGCATGAATTAGTGTAAACCCTTTTCTCTCCTCCTCCCCTAATCATGCCTGTAGTGTGTGGACTCATTTTACACACCTCGCATGGAATGGGGGAGCCTTTGCGAGGACCACCTTGGGGGAGAGATAGGAGCTTTACACAGGGTAGCAGGACAGCAGATAGCAAGGTGTTCCTTTCTGATTTGCATCCGTTTAAACTTACTATGCAGAAACGTTTCTGCAGATTCATTAGCAGCTCGTCAGCCTCAGAATGCTTTGGAATTACCTGCTGAACTCAAAAGGGATCACAGGGCATAGAGTCTGCATTCACCAAGTCAGTTAAAAGAATTCCCTATGACAGTTTATTTTTGTAGAAGCCATGTCATTAGCAAGCAGCAAGCCAATTACTCAGGCAGCATTCCTAGGAAGAAAGGCTCTCTTAACTGCTTTGCCCCACAGTCTGCTGGCTCTTAATTACCCCAAGCTAAGAGAGTGGCATGCTGCTGGCTTAGATGGGAACAAGGGTCCCCCCCACACCTGGACCGCAGTTTGGGGCTTTTCCTTGCCCGACTTCCCTGCCAGGGCAGGGATGATGTTTTTCTCAGCATTGCTGGCACACCCTGGCAGCTGCTGTGCAAAATTCAGGGGATATCAGCCAACATCTCCTTGCCAGTGGAGCACACCTCACATCTGTCATCACTGGGAGCTCTGTACAGGTGGGTTGAAAGCTGTTTCCTTCACTTGGTTTAAATTTTGATGATGTCCTGCCAGAAAGAACAGAAGAGGATGGGGATTTGCTGGTGAGATCGGAGAGAATCCAGGGGGAACCTGAATACCATGGCTCCAACAAGCCATTCTCGTAATGACAGGGTCAGCTATGCAGTCTGTGTGATTAAAGGTACACTCATTGTCCCTGCCTGTGATAGGCTCAGGTTTACCCAAAGCTCTGGGAATAGTCTCAGAACTCAGGAACCAGGCTTTTTTTTTTCCTTTCTCCCTCTGTCATTTTTTTTTTTAATTTTTATTTTATACTGGTAATGAGGATAGATATGTCAGACACAGTAAAGTTGGCACAAGACAGAGCAATTTTCAGGGCTATTGTACATAGGGTCTCTGTGAGTTGCAGGTGACTTGATGGCACATAACAATGACAACAACAACTGATTTATTTACAAATTTATTTCTCTTTCTCTGTTTTTTCCTCTCTTTCTTTCTTGAATGTTCCTGACATTGTCGACTTGCCTGTGTGAGTGACAGCTTCCTCTATCCTCATACTTTTTCTTTCTTTGCACTATTTTCAATAATTAAGTAGTTGGGTTTTTATTAGAACAGAAAGATTTCTCTCTTTTTTTCCCCCCTGGTTTCCCTTTCTGGATCGTCCTCACAGTTTACCCTTAATTTGAAAGTAATTTCAACTGTTGTTTTGCATTTAAATGTTGAATTTATGGTTTATATACTCAATGGGGACAGAGGCAGGATCTTGATAACATGAATTTAACTCTTGGCCTTCTATAGTATAAGGATTTTTTCTGTTAAATGGCAGAGACAAAATGTAAGACGTATCTCGGGTTTTCAACCTCTTTGAGAAACCGGTTCCATAGCCCAGCTTAATCATACTGACCAGAAACTTGTTTCACATAGAATCTCAGACTGCACCAAACCCAAGGATTTTGTATGTGAGAATAAAACACTAAATATCACACCAAGCCCTTGCTTTTGTATCCACCTCTTTTTCTATTAGTTCATTTCCCAGCATTTCCCCATTCTTTCATCTGTCAGTCTGTTCTTTCATAAATCCTTCATCCAACCATCCACCTACTCATTCATCCATTTATTCAGCAAAGCCATCCTGAGAATCTGGTAGGTAGCAGATTCACAGTGGGGCAGTGGAAATACTCTGATAAATAAGATGGTGATAGTGTCTGTCTTTTCTATTTTAGAGCTTACAGATCATTTATTGATTGTTCCTTTCAGAAAGTAACTGTTGCCACAAATCAACACAGTCGTGTATATTTATCCATTCAGTCATCAGGTATCATTGAGTACTTTCCGTGTGCCAGTCCTAGGGCCAGCACACACCAGGACATGACCAGAACCTTTCTGCCTTCCTGGACCAGAGAAGACACAAACAGTAGCCAGATGAGCAGGCAGGCCTAAAGAGCCTCTCACCTGGTGAATTTGCTGAGCATATGCTCTTAAGAGTTAACAAAACAGTTGCAGTATAGAGCCAAGTACAAGCACAATGAAGATCATTCAGTTCCTGATGAAAGTAACTCACGTTAAATAGTGTAGTTGTTGCTGTGGGCTGTTAAGTCAAAACTGACTCGTACAAGCCCATTAGTAGATTTTCAGAGGCAGTAAATCATAGGAGAAGAGATTGTCCATCTTTCTGCAGCAGATGGATTCTACCTGCATGCCTTTCAGGTCAACAGCACAGTCCCTTACTACTAGACCCCCAGAACTCCTTTAAATAGCCCTACAGCACCATCAGAAAGGCCCAGAACTGGATTCGATGCTGTGCTTGAGCTGTGGAATTCCTGAGAGTTTCCCAACAGCCTAGACAAATTAGAAGATTGTGGTATTTACTTAGAGAAAGTTTGCCACATTCACGAAGGAGACCAGATATTCCCAGTTACCGAAATACTTCTCACATGCAGTTTTCACATAAGGCCATCAAACGAACACTGTGAGAACGCTAGCATTTTTTTTGTGGCAACTGCAGTAAGCTGAAAGGTGGCAATCATGACGGGTTTCCTTCCACTGGCCTCTGTTCCTTTTCCCTGGAAGGGATGCTAAAAGAGCTGCCCCAAACCAGGCATGGAGAGAAGTGAGAGAGAAATAAAAAGACTTCGATTGTAAGCATTTGAGTGGCCCCAGCCTGAGCCGTCCTGTGCACTTGCCCTCCAGCGCTCCCATACTCTCGGTTGTCTCAGTGTCCCTCTTGCTTCCTTTCCTTTATGCAGCTTATTTGATAACCATGGCAGTGTAGAACAAGCTAAAGGTCCTGCAGGCCACAGAGAGCCCCTCTGAGAGAAGCAGGTGGCAGCAGGATGCAAAGCCTGGTGACCTAGTTGGTAGTTCCAAAGACAGGTGGTTTGGGTTCACCAGCTTCTCAGCAGGAAAAAATGGACCATCTCCTCCCGTGCTGTTTGCAGCCTCTGAAAACCAGCTGGAAGGTCAGCAATGTGTCCGTTCCGACTGTACAACAATGAGTTGGAGGTGTTTTGTTTTGTTTTTTTTTCAAAGCAGGTCTCAGGATGGTACACACAGTTAACACACTGAGCTGCTAACTAAAAGGTTGGTGGTTCAAGTCTTTGTAGAAGCACCTCAGATGTAAGACCAGATGTGTAGCCTGGTAAGCCAGGAAAACCCTCTAGAGCGTAGTTCTCTGATGCACAGAGGGTGTCATGAGTTGGGGTTGACTGGCCAGCAGCTATGACAGTTCTGCAAGTCCTCTTACCTCTCACAGCCCATGACTCATGTTTTTGATCTCTAGAAAACAGGCTGTCATTCCTTTATCCCTTTAAAAACATTTGTTGTGTACCAGAGATTGGGAACTGGCCCATAGCTGACCCCTGGTGGGCTTTCAGAGGCTGTTAATCTCATGGGA